CCTCAAAGCTGGACAGTTGTTGGCAAGGATGACCAATTTGGCTTTGCCCTGTCTGATCATCTTCAGAGTTTGCTTGTACCCCAGTACATATTTTCCACTTTTCATAACAAGCTGAAGCCGAGAGTTGATCGACTCCAGGGACTTTTTCTACAAAGCAAACATTGAATACGAACGTGAAGGCCTCATTTACAACCACCTCAAAACAAGATCCAACTTTCTGGAATCGAGCCCCTTAGTAAAACCTTTTAAGCCACAGAGAGCCTCTCAGGTTCCCTTTAGAACCCTCCCAAAGCCAGTGGGCATGCTGCCTCCCCGCTCAGATCTGCGCGGCCCGGCTCAGACTTGTCTCCACGTGAACCGGCTTCAGGCCCCAGCCCTTCTCACTCACCGTCTTTTTTGCGGCCACCATCTTCCTGCCTTAGATGCGGGGCGGCCCCCAACCTGAAACATAGAGAAGACAGTACAGGAGATTTAAGACCCCAGGTTTTAACCGGCAATCGGGAGGGTTCCCAAAGCCAGATAACTCTCGGCACTGCGGAGCTCACTCACCTAGAGCAGCCGTCAAGATGGCCGGAGAGCTAGAAAGGAAGGAATTCCCACAATGCAAAGTTCTTTACGGCAGAGCCGGAGGACGCTAGGACCGGAAGCGGAAGCAAATAGCAAACGGAAGGGGTGGGGCTAGAAGCGTACGGCCGCTGTCGGTTGCTATGGATACCACTAGTTCTAATGGTGGACCGTTAACTTCTCTCTGTGTCCTTAAATTTTCTGTCTCATGTTTCATTAGGCTGCAAGTTGCGAGTTTAGGAAAACCAAAGCGTCGAACCTGGCAAGGACTGGCGAAACCAACTGAGAGTACAGTAGAAGGGCCGGGAGAAGAGGCAGTTTGTCTGCTGAAGGCACGGCTCCTGCGGAGGCTCCTGGAGGGCTCCGGTGAGCCGGAGCCGCTTTTCCTGCCTCTACCCTTAGCGGGGCAGAAGCAGCTGGATCCACTCCTCTGCCCTTGCCCAGGTTGCGGGTCCTTCGGAGAACGGTGGCTTCATGCACAGCATCCCCAAGGCTCAGCTTTTGTGACTATGTTAGAATGATTCGGGGCACTGAAATCTACTTTTTAAAAAAATCTTTCTTTTTCTGTGAACCTTGGAGCTTGGTATAAATATCTAGTGACGAATTGTACAAGATATTAGGTACTGAAAGTCCCACCTCCTCACCAGTACCAAAATTAATAAATTAAAAAGTAAAATCTGCCCGGTGCGAAGGGGGACATACCTGTAACCCCAGCGACTCGGGAGGCTGAGGCAGGAAAATTGCAGATTCTAGATCCTCAGCAATTTAGCAACACCCTGTCTCAAAAAGGGCTGGGATATAGCTCAAAGATGAAGCGCCCCTGGGTTTAATCCCCAGTTCAAAAAAAAAAAAAAATCAGACCGGTAAGTAAGCAATTTGTCGTGTTATTTTGCCCTGAGGACGGGAAAGGGAAGGACCTCTTTCTTTCTTCCCCTCGCCCTCACACACAACCTTTTCATTCTCAACTTTACATATCTAATGTTATTGTCAGGTCTAAGACCAGAACCATGGTCTGTAACTCAGATTCTTTTCCAAAATTTATTCAAATGTGTGACTGACTTTGAGATGAATTTAACCTAACAATAAAGTAGCTAGTATAGTGTGGCTGGAGTAGAGCATTTGTGAGAAGAAATAATAAGAATACAAAAAAATAAATAAATAAATGTAGTAATGATAGGAACTTGGGGTACAGCTCAGTGATATAGTATTTGCATAGAATACACAAAAGCCTGGGTTTGATGTCCAGCAACATACAAACACGATTTAAATATAAGAATTATGTGAATTTGATTTAGAGTTAATTTTAAAAAATCATTTTATGGGGCTGGGTTGTTTGTAGCTCAGTGGTAGAGCTCTTGCCTAGCATGTGTGAGGCTCTGGGTTTGATTCTCAGCCCCGCATATAAATAAGTAAAATAAAAGTCCATTGACAACTAAAAAAAAAATTAAAAATCATTTTATGCTCAAAATCTTATTTATTCTAGACTTTTCCCAGAAATATTTAAATTCCAGGAAACTCCTTATCATTGCTGAAGAACCTTTGAGGGACACCCTTGATTTATAGCATTATTAGAAGTGACATCTGGACAATGATTCCATTGCCAGTAGAACTTGAAAACAGTGAAGACACTAATATTAGATTGCCACCAGAAAGATTAAGTTAGATATAGGTTAGGGAAACAGGTTCTTTTGAAGGATGGATTAACATTGTGTCAAAACAAAATGAACATATAAAAGCATTTAATATAAGGAAACACAGAATCTCAATGATTTCTCAGGAGAATGACTGGAGGTTGGAAGAGGAAGAGGAAATCTTATTTTATTCCTTTCTATGTATTCAAATATTTTGGCCTAGCAATCAGACTTTTAGAAACCTATCCAAAAGTATGTTCACACTATTGCTCAAAAAAAATGTAAACAAGGATATTTATTTCACCATTATTTTACTAGCAAAAGTATTTTAGAAACAATATCAAATGCTCAACATTCTTAACCAGTATATATATTTGCATAGACTTAGAAAAAAGTATGGAAAGCTAATCATCAAAACTTACCTCTGGGAAAGAAATTAGAAGATCAGGGGAGAAGAAAGAGCCTTATCTTTTTTTTTACAATATATTTCAATACGGCTTAAATTGTTTTACAGTGTATATTAACTGTTAGTACATTAAAAGTTCCTTTTTAATAATAAAATGTTCTTTTTTAATATTGTAGTTTTGAATTGGTGTCTTGGGAAACATCATTTATATTTCAAAGCAGTATTTCTCAGTCTGGTTTCCAGGTCACAGGAATCAAAACCACCTGGAGCTGACTTCTAGGCCCATATTTGTCTATGGAAAAGATGTATATATGTGGAATCAGGAAACTGATTCTGTGATCTGGGAATCACAGTTTAATAAGCAGACTAGAAGACTCATGAATCCTAAAATTTGAGAAGTAAAGACCTAAAGAATGAGATAACCAAGATGTTTCTGAGGCATGCTTGCTTAGACAGATACAAACTAAGTAATAATGATGCCTTACACTTTTGTATTGAGCTTTGGACTTTCAAAACTTTTTATAAGAACTGGGCTGTAGCTCAGTAGTGGAGCGCTTGCCTAGCACATGTGAGGCACTGGGTTCAATCCTTAGCACCACATTTTAAAAAAAATAAGATAAAGGCATGCTGTCCATCTAAAACTACAAAAAAAATATTTTAAACATTTAATATTTTTTTTTCAAATTATTGTAATTTTAATTGACAAATAATTGTATTTGAGTTACTGTATGATATTTTGATATATGTATCATTTTGGAATAATCAAATCTAGCTAATTACATTTATCACCTCACATGCTCATCATCTTTTTTTGTGGTAAGAACATTTAACTTAATCCCTTAGCAATTATGAACTACACATTATTACTAGTTATAATAACCATGCTGTGCAATGGATCACAAAAATGTATTCCTACTCTGTCATTGAACCTGGCACTCTTTGTCCAACATCCCTCTCCATCCCCTCACCCCTCAGGCTTTGTTGACCACCATGTCCCTTCTGAGTTTAACATTTTAAAATACTATATGTGAGCATTCAGTATTTGTCTTTATGTACCTGTCTATTCCATTTAGCATGATATATTTCGGCTAATCAATGTTGTTCCACATGACATAGTTAATTCTTTCTTTACAGCATAGTGATATCCTATTGTATGTGTTTGTGTGTATCATATTTTCTTTATACATATATCTATTGATGGACACAAATTGTGTTTTAATAATTCACTTTCTCCCAAAATAATAAGAATAGCTATTGCTTCGATTTTAGAAAATGATTAAAGCACTTGAAGCAACTTTCCTGAGATGCTCTTTGTTATATAATACCTAGTTTCCTGTCCTTGTATACTTTTAAAGAAAGGATTGCTTTCTCCCTGGGTTCTTACTGAAAGGCCAAGTTTCGTCGTCTGAGATTAAAATGCACACACACAGATAGCAGTGACAAAGATGAAGCAGCTTATTGCCAACTGCTGCTAGCTTATATAGAAAGTGAGAGTCAGTTATCTTAAACCAGGAAGCTCCTGGGGCCAATCATAGTAAAGGTCAGGTCATCACCTACGGTGCACGCACATCCCGCCCTGCATAAGATTCATGGGGGGCACAAGCTGTCCACGATCACAGAAGACAGGAGGACCAATTAGAAAATTTTCAAAACAACTTGTTATCCACCCACTGGCAACTTGCCCGCCGCCATGTTGCATTAGGGGCCAAGGCCCAGGGAGTTCTAGCTGCCTACTGGCAATTTGTCCACCGCCATGTTTGAAAGGCCCCGGGGAGTTCTCAGGGAGACTCCCAACACTTACCATGGCATGGCTGTTAAAAAAAAAAAAAAAGGTTTGTTTATAAAATCAGTCAGCTGGCCAGATTTGGCCTGTGGGCCATAATTTGCTAACTCTGTATTAGAAAATTTCTATCACTATTATTAAAAATACTTTATTTCTCATAGAGAATATTCTTATTCTAAAGAAATGTATGTTGAATTATTTGGTGGTGAAGTGTCATGATGTCTTTAACTCATTTTCAAATGATTCAAATAAAAATATATGTAGGCCTAGAGGATAAGGAGGTAGAGCAAATGCTTCAAAGTGTTAACAATTGTTGAATTTAGGTGGAGGGTATACAGGTGTTCATTGTTCTATTCAACTTTCTAAGTTTGAAAATCATCATACTAAAATGTTTGGAAATGCGTATGCTTTGAGAAAAGAGTTTGCCATTTGGATGTTATTACTTCTGGATTTTAGCCCATAGCATTTCAGAGTATTTTTGAAAAATACCAACAGGTATAAGTACATAATTAATACAAATCTTTCCTTTACCAAAATTGTCCCACCCTATTTCTTAATACTCTGTAGGCACCTGCATTTATTGTGTTTTCTGGGTTTTACTTGCTGAGAAAAGTGACAGCCTGTATTCCTTGTTAGATTATATCAGTACTAAGTTGTTATGGTTTGGATCTGAGGTGTCCCCTAAAACTTCTGTGTTAAAGCAGGAGGTGCAATAAATAGATCATGAAAGATGTAACCTAATCAGTTTGAAAGAACTATTTTGAATGGGTTGAATAATATCTCTAGCCAGGTGGGATATAGCTGGAAGAAATGGGTCACTGAACATGTTCCTGGGGAAGCATTCATCTTCTCTTTAGCCTCTTCCCCTTTCTGGCTGCCACACCTTTTGGCCATGATATTCTGCCTCACCTTGGGCCCAAAGCATCAGAGTCAGACTGAACCTCTGAAATCATGAGCCAAAATTAACTTTTCCTTCTCTCAGTTGCTCTTCTCAGGTATTTTAGTCTCAGCAATGTAAAGCTGACTAACAGAGATTGGTACTGAGAGTAGGTAGAGTCATTGTTGTGACTAACCTGACTAAGTGGTTTAGAACCCTTCAGTACTGATTTGCAGGAGGAGTTTGGAAAACTTTGGAGATGGAGGCTGGAGAAGCCTTAGAATGTTATAAGCATAGCTAAATGGGTGATTTGAGTAGGAGCTCAGGAGACCAGAATGCCAACAGGAATTCAGACAGTAAGGACTGTGCTCATGAGGTTTCAGAGACAGAGGAGTCAACTGGAATTGGACTAGAAACCATTCAAGTTACAACATAATGTTGCAAATAACTTGTCTATACTTCACCCATGTTCATGAGGCCAAATTTAAAGGTGATGGACTAATTAATCTGGCAGAGAAAATTCAAGGCAGCATAGCATTCAGGTGGTGGCATGAATATTGCTATTGGCTTTTAGATAGGTTTACTGTGAGAATTTGGAGCAGAAAGCAAAACAGGAAGATTCTGAAAGCCTGCAGTTTGGCCAGAAAAGTGCATGTAAACTTGGACCAAAGAAACTGTGGTTAGTGAAGAGATTACCACTACTAAAAAGAAGTTAATACTTTGCACAGAGACAATAGTAAAGATGACTTTAAGGGTATTCAGAAAATTTCAAGAACATTATGTATTGGATGTATATAACTTGCTTTTTATTTTTTTTAGTACTGGATATTGAACTCAGGGGCAGTTTACCATCACAAGGTCAGGATATAATAATAATAACTTGTTTTAGATACCATGGGACCTCTCAGCTTGCATGAGAGTCCTAGGAAGTTGTCTTATCATGACCAGATGCCCAGAAACTCCAAGGCCTCTGCAGCCATGGTGTGAGGGATCCAGTTAGCTTGAGCTGGCAGCAGACCTTGGCTTCATTCACATGGTACTGCAGGACTTCAGGATGCTGCAGTTAGAGAGTCATGGAGGCTTCCAGCAAGATTTCAAAGGAAGATCTGGGAAATCAGACAAAATGTAGCAGGGTTGGAATCCCTGTAGGATGCCCCTGAGAGGGTGATACATAAAGCTGTAGGAATTAAGAAATGCCAGTGACATGGAACATCTGCTGAAGAAAGCTGCTGGCTGCAGACAAAATCTGGCTTAAAGAGGCTACATGGGCTGAAACCAGCAGGGTCAAGGTGGCAGGGCTACCAAAGCCCTCTGGAGATCACATCTTGTCACCGTGTCCCAATGCTAGACTTGAAGCTACAGGATCAAATGTTTGCCCAACTGGGTTTTGGTCTTGTTTTGGTTCTGTCCCTTCTTTTTATGCCCCTATTCCTCCCTTTTGAATGGAAATTTTTACTTGGTGCCATTATTTATTGGATGTATATAACTTGCACTAAGTTGCTGAGGCTTGCCTTGAACTTGCGCTCCTCATGCCTCAGCCTCCCAAGCTGCTGGGATTCCAAGCGTGCACCACCGTGCCTGACTTCTTTTGACTTTTAAGGTGCTCACAGCAAAAAGAGTTTGCCTTGATCTCAGAGGAGAATTTGGCTTTGGACTTTTAAACAATGCTAGAACTGCTAAGATTATAGGGACTCTTGGAGCATTTTGCACTGTGAGATGGGTAGACTATTATGGTTTTGCTTTGAGGGACCAGGACAGACTATGAAGATTTGGCTATGAGGTGTTGCCCTGTTATAGTTTAGATATGAGCTATCCTCCAAAAGCTCCTATATGAGACCGTATAGGAATTTTCAGAGTTATAATCAATGGATTAATCAACTGATACAGATGAACTGGGTGGTAACTGTAGGCAGGTAGGGTGTAGCTAAAGGAAGTAGGTAACTAGGGGTATGCCTTTGGGGTTTATTTTGTCCCTACTGAGCAGAGCTTGCCTTGTTTCCTGATTGCCATGTCCTGAGCTGCTTTCCTCTGCTGTACCCTTCCGCCTCACCTCAAGTCCAAAGCTATGGAGACTGTGGACTAACCCTCTGAAAATCATGAGCCAAATCCTTTTTCCTCTTAAGTTGTTCTTGTCAGGTCATTTGGTCACAGGGATGCACACGTAACTAAAACACTCCCCCCACCCCAAACTCCTGTATTAATGTAGGAGGAGAAATGATTAGATCACAAGAGCTGAAACCTAATCAGTCCATCCTAGTTTGAATGGACAAGCTAGGTGGTAACTATAGGCAGGTAGGGCATGCATGGAAGAAGTAGGTCATTGGGGGTGTGCCTTAAAAGGGTTCATCTCCCCTGGAACCTCCTTCACCATCCCCTGCTTCCTGGCAGAGCAGAGCAGAGCAGTGTTCATCTACCAAACCACTCTTCCCTGATGGTCTGCCTCACCTTGGGCTCAGAGCAATGAAGTTGCCTAACAATGGACTGAACCTCTGAAGCCATGAGCCAAAATAAACCTTTTCTTGTCCAGTATTTTGGTCACAGTGATCATAAAACTGACTAACATACAAGTTCATCGGATAGTCATTGGTTCAGCACACTGGCTCTTATTGTGAAGCAGTTAAAATTGTCATATTCATTGACTATTACTTATTCAATATTCAGATTATTATGCAATATTCAATAATGATTTGAAACTCAATTTGTCTAACTCAATCTTCTTATTCTTACCAGTCCCCCTGGATATTAAACATACTCAAAAATATGTTGGTGAGAAGGAGGGACAATAAACCCAAGTGAAAAGTCTCTGGAAACTCAGTGAATATTAGTGACTTTCAACTGGGAACAAGATAGAATTAAAATTACCTGTTCTACCCTTTTTTCCTATACAATAATAAAGAATCCAAAACCGTTCTCCGATAGACTTTTCTGTTCAGATTGGAAGTATTTCAGACTCTGAAAGTTTTGCTTTCCAGATTTAGCAGGCTGCAAATCCTTTAGGACTAGATTTAAAATAAGCCAAAGAATGCTTCCTCCCATCTTATTTTATTTTAGTTTGCCATTTTTTTTTATCCAAGGGAACATATGCTTTCTATGCCCTTGGCAAAAACACCACCACCACCCCCACACTTATACACAATTTCTTTATAATTTTATTTTGGAGGAGTAACATTTTTGATAGTAAATTGTCTATAAAGATTGGTCTTTGAATTATCTTACATTTTATAGAGCCAATTTTTAAAAATTTAGTATGTTTCAAAGTATCTATAAAAGTAGGTTGTTTTATATATTATTTTCAATAATCTGACAAGTCTGCTATGTACTTTTATCCTCCATAAAGCTATGAAGCAGACCAAGACACTGATTTTTTTGCTTTTATACCAGAATAATATCAATTTAGTATTGTAACACTGCATATCATGCTGCTCAGAATATGTAATTACTTAATGGAGAAATAGATAGCAAATGCAATTTTGTGATAAAATCAAAACACGGGTATGTGAAATAAAAATGACAAAAGGAGTCATTGGAGGTGAAAAGATGTATGAGCATCTACCTTTGAGATCAAAAACAATAAAATATGCAGGTACCATCAGCCTTTAAAATCAGGTCAAGAGCTTTGTAATGTTGTGAGCAACCAATAAAAAAAAATCATGGTATTGGTTGTGATCAAGTATTACAAACTAGCATCTAATAAAACTAAAAAAAAAAAAGATAAGATAGGTAATTGTTGAGAAGGAGAGTGATCAGAAAGGGTAAGTACTGTGTATTAGTCTAGAGACTGGCATTGTAAGCAACAAAAACAAGCTCAGTTACACAGAAAAGCAATATATTTGCAGTTTAACAAACAAGCAACACTGGGCTGGGGATGTGGCTCAAGAGGTAGCACGCTCGCCTGGCATGCGTGCGGCCCGGGTTCGATCCTCAGCACCACATACAAAGATGCTGTGTCTGCCGAAAACTAAAATAAATAAATAAATAAATATTAAAAAAAACACCATATTTGCATATAATACTCATGGCTACTTCTAGATTGATAAATAAAAAGACCAGTGAATCATGTGGAAAACAACATATTAACTTCCTTGTCTCACAATAAAATGAGTTCTTTCTTTGATAAGATAAAATCCAGAATGTAATGTCTGATAATGTGGGGGTTTTTTTGTTTGATTTTTTGTTTTTGTTTTTGTTTTTTAAAATGGGATCTTGCTTTGTTGCCCAGGCTTGTCTTGTACTTCTAGCTAAGTGATCCTCCCACCTCAGCCTCCAGAGTAGTTGGATTACAAGTATGGGTCACCATGCCTGGTGAAGGATATGCATGTCTTAACAGAATGCCCACTAATGGTTGATGCTAGCAGAGGTATGATGGGTAGGAAAAGCAAATCTAATCGAGTGTCCATTACAGTAAAAAATCTGCTATCACCCCCAAAGTCCCCTTCTATCTTCCATGAGACCCTGCTAGATCCTATCAAAGTATGGTACCATTTCAGAGACTTAGAGTTGGCCACTCTTACTCTTGGTGGCAAATTGGGCACTCAGCCAGGTAAACCTTGATAAGGGGAGAAACATGGTATTGAGCCTGTGCCTGATCTTTATCCCAGTCCTCAGAACCATTTTATTCTTGATATCCTCAAAGCACTTATTGTTCACTATTCACCTGATCATAAAATGATTCCTTTGAAGAAAATAGGAGATATCATGACTCAGCTGCCAAATTATCTATTATGGTTTAGATGTGGTGTCCCCCAGAAGCTCACGTGTGAGACAATGCAAGCAAGACGGTTCAGAGGAGAATGATTGGGTTGACCTAATCATTAGGTATAATCACTGAATTGATCTTAACCTAATCAGTGAATTAGTCCCTGATGGGATTAATTGAATGGTAGCTAGAGGTAGGTGGCTAGAGGAAGTGGTCTTTTGGGGGTGTGGAATGGGGTATATATTTTGTATCTGGAGAGTGGAGTTTCTCTCTCTCTGCTTTCTGATCATCATGTGAGTTGTTTCCCTCCGCCATACTTTTCCACCATTATGTTCTACCTTACCTTGAACCCCAAGGAATGGAGCCTGTTGTCTACGGATTGAGACTTCTGAAACTGTGGGCCCCAAATAAACTCTTCCTCCACTACAATTGTTCTGTGTGGGTCTTTCAGTCGTAGCAGCAGAAGCTGATGAAAACATTATCCCAAAGGAAAAGTGAGATACCCCATATACCTCCTAAAAAATAATTGATGGGGAGGGGGGAAAGAGAGACTTAAATGGGCTCAGTAAGTCCTGATTTAGCATGAAAGTCTTAGGATTTAGAAAATTTCAAGTTACATACTTAAATTTAATATGTGTGTTATCAAACCTCTTTTTGGGAATAATGGACTTTAAAATTTTTTTTCACTAAATAAAATTAAGTGTGACTATTGTTTTTAAGCTTCCTCAGAAGGAGGGGTCTGCTGTGCACTGAACTATGCCCCTGTCCCATCCATATGTTGAAGCCCTAACCCTCAATGTGACTGTACCTGGAGACAGGGTCTTTTAGAAAACAACTAAGGTTAAATGAGATCACAAGTGTGGGTCCCTAAACCAACACAACAGTGGCCTTATAGGAGGTGGAGATTAGGACACAGACATGCACATTAGGAAAATGAGGTGAAGATATATGAAGAGTATAGCTATCCACCGGGCCTTGGAAGAAACCAGCGCTGCTGACACCTTGATTTTGTACTTCTTATCTCTAGAACTATGATGAAATATATGTCTGTCATTTAAGCCACCCAGTCTATGGTGTTTTGTCATAGCAGCCCCAGACAACTAATATAGATTGTAATACAACCCACAGAATAATGTAAGACTTCATGAGTGTTTGCTGATATAAATAGTAGTAAAAAAAAAAGGAAAGTTTCCTCAGTGTACAATGCCATCTAATAAACATAGAAGGAATAATATAATTAGAAAATCACTGTTTGATAACCATCATAGTAATAATTGATCCAAGCAAGAAACAATGTGTGTTAAGAGTAGCAGATAACTTGATGAGAAACAGAATATTTACATAGCCGAATAATCGCTTCCCATAAATTGCAAAGGGTAAAATAGTGATACCACGGTGGAGAAACCTGGCAGATGCCACCTTACCTAACTCAACAAAGTTAACATTCCCAATAATGAGAAGAACTGCATCCAGTGCTTCGACGAGAACACACAGACATTGCAGCCCAGCAAACAATTACAAGGAAATCAAACCAATCCAAATTGAAGAATATTCTACAATAAATGGCCTGACCTATTAAAAAAAAAAAAAGTCATAGTCCTGAAAGGCAAAGCAATACTGGGGGAACTACTTCAGATTAAACCAAACTAAAGAGAGGCAGGATGGTAAGTGTAATCCTGGGATGGGACAATTAACACAAGCTGAAATCGGAGGGGAGATTAAATAGTCTGGTATTAAACTTCCTTGTGGTAAGTGTCCTGGAGTTATGTAAGAATAACACCGCCATCGCACACTGAATCTACCAATCAATAGCCGCTGACCACGGCCGCCTCCTCCCCTCCCTGGCTATTTAGGGATGATTCAAACGATCCCTCCCAGCGATTCGCCCTAGCCCCCAGTCAGCATCCCTATCCTGCTTCGGGGGCTTTTTCTGTCTATATCACACCCTCTACCTGTCCCTCACCTGGACCCTCAATTCTACGTATCCCTACTGTCTTCTGCTTCTTTGCGCTCCAGATCTCTGGCGCTCTGCACTCCCTGGCTCCTTTCACCTGCGCCCAGCTCTCTTGCCCCTTCCGGTGCGCACCCCTTACCCAGCGCCTGGCCGTGCGCCTGCGCCCTGAGCCTGTGGGCTACGGAGTTGGTGGAACTTCTGCTGCTTCTGTTGCGTTGAGAACGGGATCTAGGTTCCAGGAGCGACGCCCGCACAGGGCTGGGACAGGTGGTTACGCTAGCCGCGATGGGCTGCTCCAGCAGCGCCCTCAACAAGGCGGGAGACAACAGCAAGTTCAGCAGCGGTGAGCTGGGGCCCCCGGCCACACCCCAACCTGGGTCGCGGATTCCGTAGGCTTTCTCCCCCGGAGTTCCAAAAGATGCATCTGAGCCCAGCCCACCCAGCAGGGGGCGAGCTCGGTCCTGGAGGGTGAGAGCGAGTACCTAAGTCAAGCGCTGCGCCTTCTCCTCCAACACCCCAAAATCTGAACCAGCGACTGCGACCCAGGGCTCAGCGGTTTGGGGGCGCTCCGCTGTGCATGCAGTGTCACTCGCAGGGCCAATGGCCCGGCGCAGGCTTATCCTGTCAGTTGATGTGATTGCGAGGTACTAGTGTCAAATCCCTACGGAGGTTACTACATTCCCTTAAACACATGAGAAATGATCATGGGGACCTCCCCGTAAGAGTTTTAGCATCCGAGATGGCATAGGACGCAGAGAATATGGAACGGCATTCACTCCATCAAATAGGTTCCTCCCGCACTTTTGAAGAGGTCAGGTACTTTCCCCTATCCTTGGCTTCTGTATTTCTTGAGAAATAGATATGTGATAAAAGGTGTCATCACTGAATCTTATAAAGAAAATTCAATGAGTCTATTTCGAGAGTCTACTATATAATAAGTAGCCCAGTGTTTGGCTGGATGCTGGAGATACCAGTGACCCTACGTATGGAGAGCAAGAAGGGAAGAAATAAACACAAGAGACAAGCGATGAGATAGTTTCTGACAGGGATAAGCACTATGAAAAGAATTAAAGCAGATCAATGAACCAGAGAATGACTTCAGTTCTTGGATTTTGAATGGTCACCATTTCGGACAAAGCTTTGAATGTTATGCTAGTTTACAATCTTCAAGACTAACTTAAGTTGTCATTTTCACTTAACACTTAATATTTCACTTAAAAAGGTCTTCTGTTAGCACCTTGGGTTATTGCAACAGCAGAAGTGCCTTCCTGTTTGATTTTGTGGTAGAGAGCACAGGATTATCATGAGTGCTGTTTAAAAGCTCAGCCACCATGACCTAGTCAGAAATACGTTGTACTGCTGTTATTTTCATGGTGTGTAATAATTTGTATTTCTAGTTTTAGTAGATGACAGAAAGCAATCAGCAGGTAAGAAGAAGGCAAAAAAAAAAAAAAAATAAAAGCGTTTCTGAGAGTGATTCCAAATCCCCTCTCACTGAAAACACTAAAGCACAGAAAGCCCATTCCTAATGCATAGTGCTTGCTAACTGTTCTCCTAAAGAGGCCAGCACCCCCGTGCCCCAAAGTGCCCTAAAGAGGCTAATCAAGGAAAAATGACTTAGATGTTTCATGTTTTATTTTATGAAATCAGGTAGATTTTTGCATTCTGTTGCATAATAATCCTTATTGGTTTCAGTATTTTAAAAAACTGAAACAAAGTGATACAGGCGTGATTAGAGGAATATGTTAATATTATACTGGCTTCTCTTGCCTTCTATCAAGCCTAAGATATCCTGGTAGTCGTCTCTTGGTTTAAAAGTAGAGCATTGGGCTGGGCATATAGTCAATGATGGAGTGCAGACACAGTATGTGCAAGGTCCTGGATTACTCTTCAACATGGAGAAAACCAAATCATTATAAAATTTTTAATTTTTTAAAATTGTAGATGGACACAATACCTTTATTTTATTTATTTTTATGTGGTGCTGAGGATTGAACCCAGTGCCTCATACATGTGAGGCAAGCACTCTGCCACTAAGCCACCATCCCAGTCCTCATTATAAATTTTTAAACTTAAAAAAAAAGTATATTTCAAGGAACGTAACTCTTGGGGAGGGGGTTTAATTAGTTGGATGGGGTTTTTAATCCTCTCATTTAAAAAATATCACTAGCACTAATAACCATTCACACGAGTTACACTCTCATATTTTATTCTTGCTTTCGTTGCTATTCTTAGTTTTCATGGTTGTTCTGAAAAAAATATTCAAACACTTGACAACCAGTTTTAGTCTATAGAAAATTAATAATATGCTGCATAAATTGTTCAACACATATTTAATCAACCAACAGGAGTATTGCATCTGATCCTCTTTCAGACAATACTCTCTTGTAATTGGATACTATTGTATGTTTAGCAGCATTTCAACTCCATGATCTTGGAGGTCTGATAAATAATTCATTCCTGTTTAAAACTTCTTTAAATCCAAGTTACAAACCCAAGCCTGTCCACGCTGGGTGTGGTGGTGCATTCCTGTAATCCCAGGGGCTTGGGAGTCTGAAGCCGGGGGATCACAAATTTCAGGCCAGACTCAGCAACCTAGTGAGACCTTGTCTCAAAAAAAAAAAAGATCGGAAGAGCGGTTCAGAAAGAATGAGACTCAGGCTTTATGATGGCATGCCTTATGAGGGGGCTGTGTCTCACTAAGTTTTATTCTTTCAAAAAGAAAAAAAAAAAAAAGGGGCTGTGGATATAGCTCAGTGGTGAAATGCTGGATTCAACCCCCAGTACCTAAAATGAAAAATCAATACAACAGTCCAAGTTTCATCAAACATCCTATACATGCATTTGTTCACTGTACCACCAGTGCCTAGCAATGCTAGCCACATAATATAGATCCTCAGTAATTATTTGCTGAATGAATTAGTTCATTTAATCCTTATATCAGTTCTATGGCCAAGTATTATGATTATTTCAATTTTATAGTTAAGGAATAAATAATTTATCACAAGTCACAGGGCTCCTAAGAGTCAGATCTGAGCTTTGAACCAGTTTGTGTTAGCTAGATTTAAATCTGGTTTTCCCTCATATCATTCTGGGTCCCCATTAAGGTATACATATATGGTCACCCACCATGGAAATTCTAAAAGAAATATAATAAAGAGTATTTATTCTAATCCCTAAATAAGATATTTACTATTTAGGTGTTATGCAAATAAGATATATAATATTTAAACACATAACATATTTATATATTATATATAAATAAAATACATATACAAATATAATATATAAATACACATTAATGTATTAATTTATAATAGTAATATGTACACATAGTACATATATTATTATACAATATTAATATTGTTAATATGTAAATATTTTATCTTTTTTTGTAGTTTCCATAGTGGGTAGACCACATATCTAATGGGGATTCAGTGATTTGAGACATATGACATAAGATAAATATAATATATATTATAACAAGAAAACATTAAAATTCTTAAATAAGGAGTTGGTAAAATATGAGGTTACATATGCTTCCAAATTTAAACTAGGAATAGTTGGAGGACATTGAACTTTAGTGATATTTCAAGCAGAATGAATATATAGATGTAAAGAAACTTCCAGTGCCTTCATGAAAGACAGATACTCTTCATTCCATAAGAGATTTTTAAAAATTTACACTAGCAACCTTAAAACTCTATGGGTTAACTAAAATACATGATCTATCCTGTATACTGGATTTTAGTTGATATGTCTGCCTTACTGAATTTTCTATAAGAAATTTCTAGCTTAAAAGTGTTGTACATGATGCAATAGAATCGTTAATAGTTTAGGTTCTCTCTTGGATCTCTTCTGTCTCTAAAATCTTGTGATATTAAAATCAAAAGGTACTTATTTTCTAGGCTCCAATTTAAGTCAGCAGCTACTTGTTAGGTAGCCCTTAGGTAACATAGGAAGAATCTATTCTAATGACATGGAAGTTTGCTTTGACCTACCAGACACTGAGCCCCTCCTCCTCCCCCCAATTTTTTAACTCTAAAGCCCAGGTATATTGGAGTGGGGGGGAACAGAGGTGGAGATTGGCCTCTGGTTGTAAAGAATTATCTAATGCTACTCTAGAGTGAAGAACCGTGCCTGGGCACTTAGATTTTGACTAAGTGCTAGAAGGTCTGAAGAAAGAGGAATTTCTTTCCAAAAGGAAAATTAGATTGAATCTGAACACAAAGGTTATATTGACTCCACAGACTTTAATGTCACCTGGGGTCTATAGACCTCGGATCCCTTCTTCACTTCACTAGCCCCTGATAACATTAATAATGCTCCATTGTTTCCTAATATAAATGCCCTCCCTTTCTGGTAGGACTTTACATTTTAAGCACCCACGTAGATAGAGTAAATAGATGGTAATTATTGGCAAATTCATTGCTGGGTTAATGTGTACATTTCCACCGATAGCTGTACTCGTTTCTTTGTTTTAACCTGAACTTTCACTAGATGCTTGGGTCTCTGCTGCCTAGGCACTCACAGGAGGCTTGAATTTCACAGTTAGTTGAATTGTTCTTTGTATCTCGGGCACACCTTCCGGCTTCAAACTATATCTTCACATGGAGACATTTCAGTCCTAACCAAACATTTTCCCTTTATAGTTGAAGAACAAACATCATTAATATTAAAATCAATTTGTATAGGCTTTTCTTGTATACGGGAATACATAAATGGGATTTTTCAAATACTATAAGTCTCCAGAACAAGTCTTAAGTGCTTGGTATGTCTTTGTGGGAGGCCTGGCTATGGCATACAGTAAATAAAAACAGGATATAGGGCTGGGGATGTGGCTCAAGCAGTAGCACGCTCACCTGGCATGCGTGTGGCCTGGGTTCGATCCTCAGCACCACATAAAAATAAAGGCATTGTGTTGTGTCCATCTACACCTAAAAAATAAATATTAAAAAAAGATGAAGACATTTTCACATTTATATATTAAGAACTTATTTCTCCTTTCCTGCACCTACAAAAATAATCTGTTGTGTGATTTGTTTAACCAGTCCCCTACTGAGGGACTTTGGATTTGTTTCCAGTCTTTTCCTGTTACAACAATGTTACAGTGAGTTCCTTTGTGAATACATCATTTTGAATGTGTACAATTATATCTCCAGGGAGATTTCCCAGAAAAGCATTTCTAGGTCAGAGTAGTATTACTAGACATCAACAATTTTGATAGAAACAGCCAAAATGCCTTCTGTAAGAGTTGTGCCAGTTTATACCTTCACCAACAATAAAATAAATCTTTTTCAAAAAATCGAAAACTTTCGGCCAAGCATAGTGTAGCATGCCTAT